TTATATATAAGTGAAAGAGGTTTATTATTAGGGGAAAGGAAGATAATGGGTGCAAGACCACACTGCAGATTTGAAGTCTGCTGGGTAAACTCTTGATCTCACTTGATGGGACTGACAACAGTGAGAAATTAAAGAAGCAAAGTGCATCCCCTGTGTTTTTCTTTTTGTTTATTCGTTTCTTTTTCCTTTTCTTCCATCAGATCTATTATTAGGGCTTATTTCAACAACTGAAGGCTGTCTTTAAACGTCATTAAGGGGCAGTGCCAAGGCCAAAACTACTCTTGCATTTTTCACTTTTATTCTGAGCCCTCAACCACTGGGGACTATTCTACACAACCTGACAATCAATCCTTGGTAAGAATGAGATTTTTCCACACTTAGTAGAACTTGTGCTTTGCCTTTCAATGGCAACTCTTGACATTAGTTTTACACCTGTGTCAATCTGGTGAGCTTTAACATAGCTGATCACTGTTCAAAACTGTATCCCGTAGGTTTTCTATTTGGCATTAATTTCTGAATCTATGAGTACCCTTTATCAAGTACCAAATCCATATATATTACATATAGGGTCTTGTGTGCTTGATGGAATGGTTTTATGTGAGTTAGACTGCAAGGTTCCCCTGGTTTTGGAAAGGTGATTCTTTGCGGGGTATGACAAGCTCTGGGTGTCCCTGCTTGATCAGGGGGACCTCTAAAGGTCCCTTCCAACCTCAAMCATCCTGTGATCCACCATGCCAGACCAAGGGAAAACTAGATACAGCAAYGTGAGGCTTAACTGGATCAACCCTCCTCACTCACTCTCAGTGCTGCAACTATTATATCGCTGCCCACAGAAGTTGTTGCCCAAAGACTTTGTTCAGTTGATCAGTTTTGTCCCCTGTGCTTGTCTTCAACAACCAGCCTCAGTCCGGATTAAAGGATCRGAACCCCTGAGCACAGGACCACCCCTCAGAGTCAGCCTGCCAGGCTGATGGAGAAATAATACAGCCTATACCTTTTGTCCCTCACAAACACATACTCCCCAGGCTGAGCTCACAAATTCCTCTTTCCTTGGCTCAAGGCCTGGAAACTTGAGTCTCTTCCAAAAGCTGGGCCCCACACAGAGGGCAGAATTAACCTCGGCCTACASGTCGGAGCAGTCTGATTTCCTTTTATTTTGCAAAATATTCCTTAAGCATATGAGGTTAATAAAAGGGGCCTCGGTAGAACCTGCGACCATCCAGTAGGTTTGTGGGCTTTTCTGAACTACTCTAATGGAGATTAAGCAAACCAGTAATTTTCCTTTTTCCACTTACCTTTGCAACCTCTCTCTACAGCAGATAAGCTCTAACTGAATATTTAACAGGAGTTTAGAATTAACTGAAATTCATTCAGAATGTCCCACATGACACAAGAAATAATTAAAAGATCAGTAGCACACATCTGCAGTGGTATTATAGGTTTGTAAAATTGTAGGCTTCAGCTCGTGTCTAAATTAAAGGTTACAATCACCATTTAACCAATGCAATCTATGGGGCCTTTGAATATATGCAGATCACTAGCACAACACCCCATCTCTCTTTCAGGATGCTATCCTTGAGAGATTAGCAGAAAACCATTTCCCTTCCCTTCATGGTATCCACAGACCATCCCGTTTCTTCATGCTACATCTGTTTCCCTATTGCACTTTATATGATTAGCACCCACTTCTAACTACTTAGTACTTTTTGCAAAGCTATCTAATCAATGGCCTGCCATCAGGAGCGCTTTCATAGTTTAACTGTGCCAAACGAAAATCAGTTAGTTAATATTTAGTAAAGAAGCAAGTACTTAACCAGAAAACTGCTCTATATCCTTTAAACTTTCATAAAGGAGAACAAAGGCAGCACAATCATTTCCATGGGAGAAAAAAAGGCATCCTTGATTTAATCTTCTAAGAGTGAACAGTGAAAACCTTTGACTCATTCTCATTTTAATTCCTTTTTATCGATTTCTTCTAAGCAGAATTCATTTAACATTGTGTATTTAAGCAGAGAAACATAATAAAAGTTGCACAGAGACTGTGTAACCAAAAAGCACCAAAACTGACCACTTACCTATTGTACTTAAACATTTCAAACTATTATTAAACAGTTATTAAACTAGTTTAAAATAGCTGTTTTGATGTTTGCCTAATTCCACAACATCTACAATGAAAAAAGCTCCAATTCTACAACTTAAAAAAGACTATTTCTATGGAAAAGATCTAATTTATGCMTCAACTAAATCATTCCAAATCACTAATAAAAACATTTAATACGTACTTGCCTGATGAGAAGACAGATAAAATGTACACACAAAAATCTGCACTGCCTTGTCTGTTATCTACAATAGGGGATAACATTAAAATACAGTCAATTGAAAATACTTATTGCAACTTTGATTTAAATAGAGCCAGAATAACTCATGAACTACTTGCACAAAGACGACTGCTTTACTGAGTTCCTACCCTTATATTTCCAAGTCTGCAAGCTTTTTTTTCCGTACACAACTTACTAATTCATATTATTTTGAAGACGAATTCAGGAGAAGCAAAGCCTAGAGAAGATGGAGAGAGGGTCCTATCAACAGGTACAAATACCTCAGGGTAGGATGTAAAGAGGATGGGGCTCAATGGTGGCCAGCAACAAGACAAGGTGTAAKGGGTACAAATTGAAACACAGACAGCCCAGCATCTCAGCAGTTACTACTCAAATGTTTTGGAGAAAAAAAAAAGTAAAAAGTCAGAGCAGACCTATTCATACACTGAGCAAAGATAGTGGAAAACTGTGATTTCTACCTGGAGGGAAACAAGCGTGGCAGCTCCCYCCTCCACCATTAAGGAAAAACGGAGAAAAGGGCAAAACTGAGTTTCTGCCTGAAGCCCTTAGCCTTTTCTCACCCACTCAGCCTTTTTAGGCTTCCATTACTTGCTTAGTTCAGCACGCACCAAGCTGAATCCCCAAGACTCACATTCACCCAAATAGGTAAGACACTAAGGAAAGGTGAGGAGAGTGCAGTTTATAAGCAGCCCGACTTTGTTGGAGGAAAGAGTAAGCAAAGAGCCTGGGCAGAGGGCAGATTAACACTGTAGGCTACAACAGTCAAAAGTGTGGGGGGAAAGGGCAGAGAAGGAGCAAACACTGGAAAAGAAAGCAGAAAAAATTCTGAGACAGGACACAGAAGACGCTACACAGAGCRAAGGTAAAAGGGAAAAAAAAAATATCTATTGCCCTTGTTGACTAAAGCTCTCTTTGAGGCCAAAACTGCCTTTTATCGTACATCTTCCCAGCCCTGGGCATAATGGTGTGCAGCCTGGCTGCCCGTTTCCAGAGTGCACAACAGCAGCAGAGCCTGACTGATGGGGCAAGCCAGCCTGTCAGACAGGTTTTAAGCAGCGCACGGTTTGTGCAGGAACTAGACACACCAGTGAGCAGACTATGCTGAATAATATAATTCTGTTTCTACTGAATAATACATAATACGACATAATGCATTCTAGGCCTCTCCAGATAATAGCTGAAAGAAAATTTCTTATCAGCATTAAATTCAGTGAAGTGGCCCTGGGCGACAACACGGAGTTTCAAAAACGTCCTAGTCAGATGTGTGCCACCACACTAAGAATTCTTAAAAAAACTGGTCAAACACACTACCAAAAAACAAAATGTACTCAAGAGAACACAGCCATTATTTTTATAAATCACAAAGGGTATTTTTGGTGAATATACAGCCAGCTTTCATGCTGGTAGCATTGGTTTAGGTTCACTGGAATAGGTGCCCTTTCCCCTCTTGAAATCCTGATTCCTCAGCCTCAGGCTCTTTAACACAACGGTGAATAACAGAGGACCAAAATCATCATCCACTGTGTAATAGGAACACGCCTGATATGCAAAAAAAAAAAAAACCATTAAACAGCTATTCTCAGAATCTTTGATCTCCTAGATGGAGATAAAACACTTCACAGGCCRTAGATAATTTAACTTGCAATTACTTTTTGTTTAAAACTTAAATAACTCGAACAGTACTAAAAACCCAAGTAAATATTACTTACAGAGTCATTGTCTATGAGACTAGTTCATATTCTATAATGCTTCCATAAACTGGAAAGGCATCATACATATAAACACCATACTTAAGCTACTCTGGCTCATATGTACCCAAACTCAACATACTAGCTACTTTTGGAATACTACTATCTATGTTTATCCACGGTCAGAAAATAATTATATTATTTATACATATAAATATATAAAAATATATATGAACCTATATATATGAACCTATACATACATAGCTTTAATGCTAAAAACTATTAAAAGTTTGAAGTTTAAAAATATTAAACTAAAATGCTATAAATAATATAACACATAGCATTTTTGTTTATTCTTATTTTTTCTTCTCTCAAATATCCATTAATGTTCTTGGCACCAATTTTTTGGAAACCTTTCTTGGAAATATTACAGGATTGTTAAGGACGTACCGTGTTTAAGCTAATTGAGTATTTTATATAACCTTCTTTAGATGACAAAAAAGCCCAAAGAACAAAGGGAAACAAAATACCGAAGCAAAAAATATCAAGTTAAATGAATCATGAAAGATGATTTAAAAATGCAGAATCCTTTTTTTTTGCAGAAGTAAAACTACAGAACTAACGAGAAACAAAAAAAGCCATCAAAGACTCTGACCTTTACTTAGTCTATAATAATAGTGGATGTGTTTCTGAATATCTTATCTTTCCTTTCTTAACACTTCAAAGGGCTCACACCAACCGTAGGCATGGTCACAAGAGTTCTAGGAAAAGTTCATTAAAGTTCATTAAAATAGTATTTGTTTCAGTTGGTCTCTTGACATTTCTTTAAGGTAGTCATTACTACAGATTTCCATAAGCTCAAGTCATCCCAAATCATGTTTAGGAATGACAGTCAGCTGCCATATACTCAGCACTCGGTCGCTCTAGCTCTGCACAGACACTGTCATATTTAATATTAAAATATAAAACTTACTTTAGCACATCCGCAGATCGTTTCCGGCCTCCTTGTACATCCTGTGAGATATCTTTCCCAGTGTTGTTTAGGACAGTGTCAGCTTTATTTACAGAATCCTCTTTTATTTTAGCTGTAGAATTGACAGGCTGTTCAGTTTTCAGATTCTTTGGATGCCTGCCCTCCAGAAGGGTATTTCTGTCCTGCAAATCCTTTTCACATCTGTTTGGTTCATCTTGGAAGGTAGATGGTTTAGACTCTACCAAAGAAGATTTTGATGCAATATTAAATAAGCTTCCAAGAAACTGGAAAAAACCTTCTCTGGGCTGCTTGTCCTTATATGCTGTTTTGGTTGCAGGTGTCAAACTAGGAAGGCTATTAGCCTTTTTTAATTCCTCATGGATTTCAGAATTGCTAAGTTCTTCTGTGGAATGGTTCTTTTCCTCATTTTGACAAACCTAAAATAAATACAAGAAGTAGATAAAAAACATGAATCACCTTGATGTGTCCCCAAACTCCTTCATTCATTCCTAYGCATTGCATTCCTTTCTGCAGATTTGTAGTTTAAAGTAACCATTTKTAGGAGTTTTTGATCAAACTCCTGTACTCTCTTCTTCTCTTTGAAATGGACACCTGCCTTTATGTATTAAAAGTTCCCTATTGTACAAAACACACAAGCAAGCAAACAAACAAGAACATAAGCTCTTCTGATTTGCTAAACAGCTGCTGTGGAAGTAAAATATTGTAGGACAGGAGTAAAACAATCACTTCAGCCTGTAAAGGAGAAAAAAAAAGATTTTTTCTTTCTTATTTAACACAAAGGCAAATTCAGTATTATTTACTGTTCATCCACAAGGAAATTAGGACAGCAGACCTAAACCAGAACTCCAAAACAGGCAAACAAATAAATAAAATCCAGTCACTTTGAACAGTTCATACAAGGGAAAWCTTTCTTGAAAGATCACATAAACAAAATTGTACATTGACATGTAAGTACAGAGAGAGTTGATCCATTTATTGTACCTAAAACTTCCAACTTTTCTTAATAGGGTTAGCTCTCACTTGCCTGCAGAAAGGACACTCTCTGGTCATGCTGTGTGCACAGAGCAAGGAGAAGGAATTTCTGGTTCTCTCAGGGTACACTCTGGTACCACTTCAGGCATAACATAAAATCTGTCATACTCTAACTTGCTCAGAAAGCTGATACTCACAAACAAACCCACACATGGTTGCAAAATGAATACAGTTACAGTTTGCAAATTGTATAAATACACAAGACACTAGGTACACCTTTTACTCTCCCCCCTAAAAAACAAACCAAAAAAAATCCCAGAATTTGCATAAAAGAACTACATTCAGGTGCCAAGGAACAGTATTGCCTACCATCCCTAGTGACCTGGCATTGCCCCCTTGCCCAGCTTTCCTCCATCTCCATAGGCAATGGCACAACCGCTTTCACATCCATCTGCAGTCTCCTCCCATGCCCCATCTGCAAAGTCTGCCCMGAGTCCAGTCCTACACGTTACTTCTCCTCTACCCAAGTCCTTGTGACCTCCACATCAGCTGCTTATCGTCCCCCCTGAGAGCTGATTCTAATGGAGCCCTTCACCTCCTTTAAAGCACCTTTCCACCTCTTCCTTCAGCTCAACTAAGCATCTACCTCGAGGGACAAAGCAAGCTCTAGTCCTCATTAGTTCATACCTTTGGATTTCCTTAGCTTGAGCTTCCCATACTCCTTCTCCCAGCTATTCAAAAAGATGAATCACAATTTCACTTCACAAAGACCACATGTTAAAATCCTCTTTTTTTGCTTTATAATCTTTTTCTCCTAGGCCCAGGTTTTCCCATCCCTCCAAGTCTTCTCCATCCTCACACTTCATACTGGGTTCCCCAGTGGCCAAGGTTTTCTTTATTTTACTACACTTGTCATTTCAGTCCATTTCCAAACAATTAATTAAAACGGAATAAAATTAGCCCACATTTCCTTAGATAAAATCTGTTCTGCTCAACAGGACTTYGATGGGACAACATGAAGAAGAAATCCTGCAAAAACTGTGGCTGAGTCAACAATATATTTGGTTAAGAGTAATTGTAAGAGTAACTGTACATCCAACTGTAATCCAAGTTGGATTATGCCTACCTATCCTATCCAAGCAACAAGCTGCTACTTTCATTATCTCGTTAATTGTATCTCAATTTGGAGATATATTTGTTCCAAGCAACAAATAATCCTACTTACATGTTAACGGTACGTTATATGTTAACAGTCTATGAAAATTTCATTTTGATGATGAAAATAGCATGTTAACAAACACCTTTTGCATTTTGGGGAAACACCATTTTTTTCAGAAATATGCAAATGATATTTAGGGATACTGAGATAGTGGTCTGTAGTCTTCCAACATTATTTTGTCACCTTTTTCACACCAAGAGTAGTGGCGACAACTTCATAGTAAGTAGGGATTGGTGGTATGCTTTTCCTCCTCGGCTGTGTTAAAAATGGAATTGTTTGTGCAAGGACGGAAATACAATGGAACTAACTTGTGCTTCAGTAATCCATATAACCTGTACTTTTTTCCTTCAAATAAGTTGCTTACCTTAAACAATTGTATTAAAAACTGAAGGTATTCTATGCCCTAAAATCCAGCCTTTCTTCATCTTACCAGCAAAAAAATAACYCCACTGGCTTCCCCACATACTGCACTAATCAAGTAGAGAGGTATCACAAACGGATGATTAATGATCCTTTTAGTATTCAGAGATTCACCCCTTTACAAGTCTACGCTACCCCAAACCTACCCCTGGAAATGAGAAAGGAAGCCRAAGCCGGTGTAGCTTAGAGGAACACCGCAGTGCTGGTGGCTGGTGTCTTCAGCATTAGACAAACTACCCAAGCAGTAGGCAAGCCTTGGATGAATGTCTTGAACAATTAAGTGCATCCTGTAGAAACTAAGTGGTTTACATAAGGAAATACAAAACAGAAACAAGAAGAAAAYGGAATTCATAAAGTTTGATAATGTAGGAATGATACACTGTAACCAGTTTCACAAAGTTCTACTGTAATAGTTTCTTCCTTTATTTTGATTAATATCTCATAATTGCCTCCTACTACCTTTTGATTTAACTTTAAGGGAGGGAGGATATTCCTCCCTTGTTCTGTTCAATCACATAAACTTATCAGCTGTAGCTTTCAAAGAATATTTCAGTGCAGGAAAGTATATAGAAACCTTATTATTATCCACAAATATTGCTATTCTAGATGATTCATGCTTACATTACTAGATTTATATTAATTTCTACATATTAATTACTACAACACCGATGAATTTAACAGTATTAACTCCGGAAGTATTACGCCCAGTTAAACACTTTAGTGTCATCTCATCTTTATTCCTCCAATTTTTTTTAAGAGAAATTTCTATTCTGTAACTGTGCCTCCTGCCGCCTGCCCCCCACTAGGAACTGGGACTTCAATCTTAACTAAATCTCTCCATGTGATATTCTTCCTCAGCAGCTCTGGGACAGAAAGCCTGTAAAGGCAGTGCTTCTTATTTAGAAGCATAATTTATGTCCTGCATGAAAAGCTGTTTTGTAGTCTCTATTTACAGAAGCATCAATCTATTTAGTCTTTCCTTCCTCTTTAATCTTCCTTTCCTTACTTAACTTCTGGTAAATCAAAAGAACAGGAAGCTTTAATATGAAAGGGTCCTTCCATACCTTTAACTATAAATAGTCTCGCATAAAAAAGCCCTGAAGACCATTTACGCTATGCTTACTTTCAGATACATGTGTCTAATAAGGCCTAACACAGAAGCTATGCAAATCCTTCTTTCCTTCCTCAAATATAACTAATCCTTCTCTCCATACAGATTTTCCCCCACTGTTTTTGCCATAGAAGACAGCCTCAGCTATTGGTGTTTTATCATTTTTTCTTAATGTCCCAAGCACAATTTAAATCATTCTTTAAGCATTAGAGAAACAAAGAAARAAAAATCCCTGTTCTTGCTTGAGGTTTTAAAGCATGTATTTTAAGAAGATGACACACAAATAAATGAGACACAAGCACATGATGTGTAAATCCAGTAAGCCTTTACCAGAGCAGCAGCCATCAGCCACAAATGACTGAWGAATGCAGCAGTCTCAAGGCAATTCCTCAAGGCAGCACAAAGGGAGCTTGCACTTTCCATCTCCCATGCTTCCCGCCGAGGTTGTCTGCGAGGAAATSCACTAGCAAATGCTTTGTGAAAAAGAAAAGGGAGCAGGGTATAGGTATTTGTAAAAGAAATACCTTTCTMCATACAGGGGGTATGGAAATTGATTCCTTTCCCTGTGTAGCTCACTCTTTTCAACAGTCAGGGCTGGAGCTCATCGTGACAGGGCAGCTGCATCTGTGCCACAGCTCAGCAATGAGCAGTCTGATATTTAGAGCGCTGGAGAAGTACTTAYGATTCTGGTATTAGTTATGCTTCATCTCATCATTAAAAAAACAGTATCTTCCTGTCACATAAGCCTGAGCAGCTTCTCAGGCTTACCACACACAAACAATAGCTCCTGAGTGAAAGACTCCCAGGTATTCTTTAAGACCCTTACTGATGTAAAGGGAATTAAAGCTTTCCTGCCATGATATGGTATTTCCAGAATGCTCTTTTTATATGTGGACTGTCTTCGACCTTCTCCATTGTCTTCCCTTTCAAATTCTTTTTGAGGCTTCCTGCTTCTGACATGCGTCACAACGCTTTTCAAATTAGCTTTTATTTCTTTAGAAATTTGCTACTCAAAATTTCCCCGGAGAAGCCCTGAGTAACCTGCCTCGACCTCATGGCTGACACTGCTTTCAGGAGGAGGCTGGACTCGATGACATCCTGGGGTCCCTTCCAAAGAGAACTACCCAAGGAGCCTGTGAGGCTGCAGGCAACCAGACTGGGGTAGAGAGGAAACTCAGCAGAGTGTAAAACAAGATCATGACTTAAATCAGGCRACTGAAGACAGCAATAACAACGGGAGTTGCATCTATTGTGCAGCAGGGTGGGGTGGTCTCACCTTACTTGAGCAACCCCTGAGAGAAAACACCAACAGCAGGAACTGGGGTGATAAGCCTATGAYGCCATCTCTCAGTGGGGATTGCTAACTGAGCTAATTTATTGGTAGGCTACCTATGCTGCAGTCCACACGGGGCTGTAACACAGACATGCACCCACCAGCCTAGCTGTGCCCATACAGCGAGGCAGAGGGTGAACAGCTATGGGGGCTCAGCAGCACCCTGAGGAGAAACTGCTTTGCCACGTCTGCCCAGGACTTGATACAAGCTGAAAAGAGCAGCTCTGGCATTGCCTTCTCTCAGCAGCAGAGTGGCAAATGCTCAAATCGCCAGAGGTTCTCATTTGGYAGCGTTTATGTCAATCCACCAAGAATACAGTCTCTTTTATTGTCCTAACAAGAGAATGAAATGGAAACATTA